TAAAGCAGCCTCGAAAAAGAGTGTAGATGTGGTAAAAGAGAAGAGTTCCAGGAAGAGAAGTCTGAACCTTGGTGAGGTTGATTTGCCTCAGGGCAAACACAGCAAGTGCCTTGAAAAGCACCCCAGGACCTTCTTCCAATGAGAAAACTATACTCGTCTATGATCAATAATATCCATCAGAAAGTTGTTATAATTTAAGAATAATACCAAATAATTTGGGCTGCAAGCAATTTTTCGATCACATAAGTGCAAACCTTGAATGGTCTATCTATACCAGGAATAATGGGTTCCCTGGCCAGCATTAGAAACCGGGTGATATTGTCACAATCATCCTGTTCAAAGTAATGCAAACATGAATCCAAAACCTCCTTAAATTCATCAACACCAGAAAGAAGGAAGCATTAGATATGTATGTACCTGAATGTCTTCAGCAAGTATGTTCAAGCCATATATCTTTGCAGCAGAAGAGCTAGCAACTGCTGCTGCATCTTTTAGTTTGTTGAAAGCCACAAGCTACATATTGAAATAAAATTTAAATCAGTAACTTATGGAGCCACCAATGGTAAATATTAAATTAATGGTAATTCCTCTTTGCTCCCTAGATGTTTGCCTTCATAAACACTAAATCCCAACCTACCTTCGCAGCACCAGCAGTATCATCTACTGCTTCTCTGACCAATCCCAACTTTGTCAATGTATTTTCACACTGAGAAAGAGCCTGAAACACGAAACCAGTTAACCAACATTCAAAATGGAAATGGCTTCAGAAAAGCGGACATGACAATGACTTACCTGGGGATGGCTCAGAACCCTTTCCAAGTCTTCGACATTAACACCATGATTGGCTAATAAGCAATGGCGAACTGCAAGTTTCACTTCCCCTACTATATGCAATCTGTGCCGCAGCAAAAGGTCATAATTTCTATGGATGCTCCCACCTAAAGAATTTTCAATTGGTAAGACAGCACGCTCCACAAGCCACCGCTCAACAGCCTGGGGATAGAACAAGACTCCTTAAAATGTATATTCAGGACATCAGAACTGTAAAAGTTTCAGTATATTTATTCATGGATTAATGTAAGTGAAGGTTAAACGGTTATATCATATGATTGACATGCATCAAAGGTAAAGTTTCCAGTAATAAGACTCCTTAAACACAACAAAGATAACCCCTCTTAAGGGAAGATTGATGTCTTCCCATGAATATTCAGAAAATACCCAAAATAAAATGAATGAACCACCACTCAGTCATGATAAATTAATCACGATGGGTGTTAAATTATCACAAATCTCTCTCTACTTTATCTATCCTTCTGAGTTCTCTAGCGCATTACTAACTTTCAGCCCAAGAAAAAACTCCCCTTTGAATCGACATTCGGTTCCCTTTACACGTCATATTTCTGGTCAAAGTTGAAGGCTAAGCGTTACATGATTGATATGTTAGATATGGCTTAAGCCATAGCTCTATCTACTCATCCACATTTTTTTTTCTTTTATTTTTTTAAGAATCAAATAAGAAATCAATCACGAGGAACCATGACTGGCACAGATAATATATACACTACAGATATATATATATATATATGAGTGACGCAGATGTTGCCAAAATTAGAATCAGAAACAATTAAAAAGAAAAGGCCAAACAATATTTTACATGATTACATCAACATCCAGACCAAATTAGTCAACCAGAGCATAAAAATATATATGAATAACCAGATACACCAAAAAAAAAGGTAAAAATAAAGGCAATAAATATCAACTACTAACTTCGAAAGCGGTCTCAAATTGGTCGCAAGGAACAGCTTCACAATTGGGATACGCCTTCTGTGCAGCTGACTCACTGTACGCCCCACGAACTCCCTGTAAATCAATCAATCAGTACAGCCACAATAAATCCAAAACATATAAGATATTAATTGCACTCGCGCAAGTGTTTGTGTATACTATTCACCTGGTAAGCAACACGAAGCCGAGAACCATCAGAGATTGAATTGGATGCCTGGATCGAAGACAGAGGCTCTGCAATTCAAAATCGCAAAGAAAAAAAGGAAATAGTACCATCACAAAAAAAAAAAAAAGAAGAAACAAACGAATATCATGCAAGTTTCGACTTCTTACTTGGGAGCGAGTGAAATCCATTTTTGGAGTCGACTTCGAAAGGGAAATCATTTAAGATGTTCTGCAATTCAACTGCCTGAAAATTATTAGCGTCATTTTCGCTCTCTCCGTGAAGAGAAGCCGAAACGACGACGCTACGACATCGCTTCGAACGAAAGCTGACGGATACAGTTGCTTTCTGATCGGACTGTGACGAAATGCAATTGATTTTGCCGGGAAGTTGAGTTACCGGTGATCGGACTGTGTAACTCGCCATTTGCGTGGGCGGTTTCGGCTCATGAGAGAGTGAAAAAAGACGAGGTCACGAAGATGAGGGCATAGCAGGATGTCAGAAAAAAAGATTTTATTTTTTATTTTTTATTTTTTCGATTAAAAAAAAATCTGATGGAAACCCGAGCCCGGGTCTTCTGTAGAACATGACACGACGTCGTTTCATAAAAAGATTTTCTTTTTTGTTTTTTCTTTTTTCTTTTTTCTTTTTTAGATTTTTAAAAAAAAAAAAATCCGATGCAAACCTGGGCCCGAGATTCCTGTAGACCATGACACGACGTCGGTGGTCACCGTTTCATGGAATTTATATTTATTCAAATTTAAAAAATAAATAAATAAACCCCTGCGAAACGGCGACGTATCTGGAATTCTCCGGTCGGATAAAAAATTTACAGCAAAAATTGATTCTGAAATCTTATTATTGTTTCACAAAATTCAAAACCTGACTCAACCTAATTCAGATTTAGATCAAATATAATTGTCTGAACTTGACTGTGTCATATATAATATGTACTTATAAATATATTATTCCAATTGGGTCAAGTCGATTTTGGGCTGAAAATAATGACCATACATAGGATCAGTCTTTGTACATTATATATTTATAAAAGAATTAACTGAAACTCGAACCCACTTTCTTACGAGATAACAATTGGGCCGGGTCGAACCAATCCAAAAGCCCAAATCATGATTATCGACAGATTTGTACGACCCGACCAACTCGATTTAACCCGAAATTAATTCGTGTCCGAATAAACAAATTAGATTAATTAGATCAATTGTTCGACACAATTACTTGGACCGAGTGGGTTGGTAAATGACAAAAATAGATGGAATTGAAAATTACTCTTGCAAGGGATATCCGTGTCTCTCTCTCCAAACAAAAAAGGAAAAAAGAAAGTATGGAATGGGCCTGAAATGGGCCTGGATCATGGCCCAGCCCAATTAGTGGGTCATAATGCGCGCAAATTTATTAAAAGATGATTGAAGAATTCTCAACGTTAACCTAATTAAAATCTAAACTACGGATTTTAATTTTGCCGTTATCTGAATCTTAATTTAAAATAGAGATTCATATTTTAACTCTTATCTATAATAAGATTAATATATATTTGTTTATATAGTACTTAAAATTTATAATGCCAGTTACTAAAAATATAATTAAAGAAATATAGATTATCTGAATTTTAATTTAAACTAGAGATTCAGATTTTGATTTCGTAATTAAAGATAATTAATACATATTTACTCATAAAATATTCGAAATTAATGATTATATGTTAAT